TTATTTATTTATTTATTTATTTTTATTTTTATTTTTATTTTTATTTATTTTGTTTGTCTTTGTTTGCGCCGCAATTCTATTTCTTTTATAAATAAATAAAAACAAAAAAACTAAATAAATAAACAAACAAACAAACAAACAAACTAAACAAATAAACAAACTAAATAAATAAATAAACAAAAATAAATAAACAAAAATAAATAAATAAATAAATAAAAATATATTTGTCTTTGTCTTTGTGTGTGTTAGTGGGTCACTTGTCTTACCAGTGCCGCAACTCTATCCGTTTTATAAACAAAAATAAACAAAAAAATAAAAAATAAATAAAATAAATAAACAAACAAACCAACTAAACAAATAAATAAATAAATAAATAAACAAAAATAAATAAATAAATAAATAAATATATTTGTCTGTGTCTGTGTCTTTGTGTTTGTTAGTGGGTCACTTGTCTTACCAGTGCCGCAACTCTATCCGTTTTATAAACAAAAATAAACAAATAAAAAAAAAAAATAAATAAAATAAATAAACCAACTAAATAAATAAATAAATAAATATTGATTTATTTATTTTTATTTATTTTTATTTATTTTTATTTTATTTATTTTGTCTGTGTCTTTGTGTTTGTTAGTGGGTCACTTGTCTTACCAGTGCCGCAACTCTATTTCTTTTACAAATAAATAAAAACAAAAAAAATAAAAAACAACTAAATAAATAAATAAATAAATAAATAAACAAAAATAAATAAATGAATAAATAAATAAATAAATAAATAAACAAAAATATATTTGTCTTTGTCTTTGTGTGTGTTAGTGGGTCACTTGTCTTACCAGTGCCGCAACTCTATCCGTTTGGCTGATCCGCAGCAAACAGAAAAACTCGCAAAAGAATTAAAAATTAAAGAACAGCAAGAAGACGATGAGGTACAGCAGCAGCAGCAGCAGCAGCAGCAGCAGCAGCAGCAGCAGCAGGAGCAGGAGCAGCAGCAACAGCAGCAGCAGCAACAGCAGCAGCAGCAGCAGGAGCAGCAGCAGCAGTAGCAGCAGGAGCAGCAGGAGCAGTAGCAGGAGCAGTAGCAGAAGTAGCAGCAGCAGCAGTGGTAGTAGTATTAGTAGGAGTAGCAGCAGGAGCAGCAGCAGCAGCAGTAGGAGCAGCAGCAGCAGTTAGATCTATGACGCGGGATTAGGGTTTAGGGTTTAGGGTTTAGGGTTTAGGGTTTGTGGTTTTGCTGCAGCGGCTGCGGCGGGCGTTGGGTATAGGGAGCGACGATGAGAGCTACAAGCCTTTGGGGGGGAGAAGGAAGCGCAGCAGAAGCAGCAGCAGCAGCAGCAGCAGCAGCAGCAGCAGCAGCAGCAGCAGCAGTGACAGCGACAGCAGCGATGATGATAGACGAAAAAAGAAAAAAAAAAAATCAAAAAAACACAAAAAAGATAAAAAAAAACACAAAAAGTAAAATATATTAAAATATATTAACAATGCTTGTCTTTGTCTTTGTTTTCTTTCTTTTTATTTTTATTTTTATTTTTTTGTTTTCTTTTTTTTTTTCTTTTTGCTTTTGTTTTCTTTCTTTTTTTTTTTGTTTTTGTTTTCTTTCTTTTTATTTTTTTTTTGTTTTTGTTTTCTTTCTTTTTATTTTTTTTTGTTTTTGTTTTCTTTTTTTTTTTTTTATTTCCTTTTATTTTTTTTTTGTTTTTTTTCTTTCTTTTTATTTATTTTTTTTTCTTTCTTTGTCTCCTTTCTCTCTTCTTTCTCTCTATCTGTCTCTCTCTGTCTCTGTTTTGTCTCTCTCTCTCTGCTGTCTCTCTCTGTCTCTGTTTTGTCTCTCTCTCTCTCTCTCTCTGTTTCTGTCTCTCTCTGTCTCTGTTTTGTCTCTCTCTCTCTCTTTTGTCTTTATATGTCTCTCCCTTTGTCTGTTCATCTCTCTTTGTTTTCCTTTAATTTTCTCTTTTTTATTTTTTTATTTTTTTATTTTTTTTATTTTTTTTATTTTTTTCTTTTTCAGGTCCCACAAGAAGAAGCGGAGTCGCTAAACCTCTTTACACCTTGGCTCTTTATACAGCTAGCTAGCTAGCCAGCTAGCTAGCTAGCTAGCTCTATAAAGAGGCTAGCTAGCTAGCTAGCTGGCTAGCTGTGTGCATCTGCGCACGTTTAGCTGGATAGCTATCTGGGCGTTCGCCCTAATCTATGGCTGTGTAGCTAACCAGCTAGCTAGTTAGCTAGCTAGCTAGCTAGCTAGCTAGCTAGCTAGCTACCTAGCTAGCTAGCCACATATTTAGTGGGGGTCCGAAGGCACTTTGCTAGCTAGCTAGCTAGCTAGCTAGCTAGCTGCTGGGTGCGCCAGCTGCTGGCGGCGCGCATTTCAGTTTTTTTAGCCCCAGAGCATGGATAGCGGTAGCTAGCTAGATGTATAGCTAGCTAGCTGGCTAGCTAGTTGTACAGCTAGCTAGCTAACTAGCTAGCTGCAGATAGCTAGCTGACTAGCTGGCTAGCTGGCTGGCTGGCTGTGTAACTATATGGATGGCTAGCTTTGTAGCTAGCTGTCTAGCTAGCTGTCTAGCTAGCTGTCTAGCTAGCTGTCTAGCTCGCTAGCTAGCTAGCTGTATAGCTAGCTGTCTAGCTAGCTAGCGAGCTAGCTGTTCAGCTAGCTGTCTAGCTAGCTGCCTAGCTGTCTGTCTGGCTGGCCGCTTAGGTAGCTGGTTGGCTAGCTGTATAGCTAGCTCGCTGGATAGCTAGCTAGCTAGCTATGTAGCTAGCTAGCTAGCTAGCTGGCTAGCTATGCAGCTAACTAGGTGGGTCGGTGCGTTTGTGTGCGTTTGTATTTTTGTTTGGCTCTTGCTGCAACTCTACTATAACAAATAAATAAAATAAATAAAAGATAGACAAATATATATATATATATATA